CAAAACGCAATCTATTCCATATGAAAAATGGAAAGGAAGAAAACCCAACTTGAAATATTTCAAAGTGTGAGGGTATCTAGCAAATGTACAAGTTCCTTTACCTAAAAAGGTTAAAATCGGACCAAAAACTGTTGATTGCGTTTTCATTGGATATGCTACAAACAGTAAAGCATGTCGGTTTTTGGTTCATAAATCTGATAATCCCAAAATTCACGTTAATACGGTAATGGAATCAGATAATGCTGAATTCTTTGAAAGCATCTATCCGTATAAAACTGAATGTGAGTCGTTAAGTGAAAGACCTAAACGACCTCGGGAAGAACCAAAGGAAAATACTCCAAGTATAGAAGATCCAAGGTGTAGCAAACGTCAAAGAACATCTACTTTCTTTGGACCAGATTTTGTGACATTCTTGCTTGAAAATGAGCCTCAAACTTTTAAAGCAGCTATGTCATCTTCTGATTCAGCGTTTTGGAAAGAGGCAGTCAATAGTGAGATTCAATCAATTTTGGATAACCATACATGGGAATTGGTAGATCTTCCTCCGGGAAATAAGCCTTTAGGTTCAAAATGGTNGCCTTTAGGTTCGAAATGGATCTTTAAACGGAAAGTGAAAGCTGATGGCACTATTGACAAATATAAGGCAAGACTTGTTGTCAAAGGTTATAGACAAAAGGAAGGCCTTGATTACTTTGACACTTACTCGCCAGTAACGAGGATAACATCTATTATGGTGTTAGTGGCACTAGCGGCCGTGTATGGTCTTGAAATCCATCAAATGGATGTTAAAACGGCTTTCTTAAATGGAGAATTAGAGGAAGAGATTTACATGGAACAACCTAAGGGTTTTGTGGTAACTGGTAAAGAAAAGAAAGCGTGCAAACTTGTTAAGTCGCTTTATGGACTTAAACAAGCACCCAAATAATGGCATGTCAAATTTGACCAAACAATGTTGGTAAGTGGGTTTAAAATCAACGAGTGCGACAAATGTGTTTACATTAAAAATACTCCAAGTCATGAAGTCATTGTTTGTTTATATATTGATGACATGTTGATAATGAGCAAACATATAACAGATATAAATGCTACTAAGCGCATGTTGGCTAGCAAATTCGATATGAAAGACTTAGGAGTTGCTGATGTGATCTTAGAAATCAGAATTCACAAGACTCTACAAGGTTTAACATTATCACAGTCTCACTACATTGAAAAGGTACTTGACATGTTCAAGTATTTGGATTTCAAAATTGATAAGACTCCAATTGACGTGAGTTATGCACTTCAAAAGAATGAAGGTGAAGTGACTCACAACTGGATTATGCAAGAGTACTGGAAAGTTTGATGTATATCATGAATTGTACACGACCAGATATAGCATGTGCTATTAGTAAACTGAGTCGGTTTATAAGTAATCACAATCACATACATTAGATGACAATAAAACGAGTTTTGGGGTATCTCAAACATACCCAAAATTATGCTTTGCATTATAACAAATATCCCTCCGTGATCGAGGGATATAGTGATGCAAATTGAATCACTGGATCATTTGAAGTTAAATCCACGAGTGGATATGTTTTCACAATTGGGGGTGGAGCAGTGTCTTGGAGATCATCCAAAAAACATGCATCGCCCGTTCTACAATGGAATCTGAATTCATAGCTTTAGATAAGGCCGGTGAAGAAGCTGAATGGCTCCGGAATTTCTTGGAAGATATTCCATTTTGGCCCAAACCTTTGGCACCTATTTGTATACATTGTGATAGTCAAGCGGCAATAGGCAGGGCAGGGAGCGTTATGTATAACGGAAAATCTCGTCATATACGACGGAGAACAATACCGTTAGACAACTACTCTCTAGTGGTGTTATTACAATTGACTACATAAAGTCAAGAGATAACGTGTCGGATCCGCTTACAAAAGGCCTATCTAAAGAGGTAGTTGAAAGATCATCAAAGGGAATGGGGTTAAGGTCTAGGACAAGTCATCATGACGGTAACTCTACCTAGCAGACTGGAGATCCCACGAGCTAGGTTCAAAGAGATCAAACAAAGTTATGAATGACGGTTCAACATTGTCAAATAACTTTACCCATTCTCGTGATGAAGACAATGTTCAGAAATCGAGGTAAAGCATTAAGGCTTTTTGATGAGTCAACAAAGCTTAAAGGTTTTTAATGATTTGCTAAGTCTGACAGGATATGACCAGATAGTGTGTCTACAAGATTACACGTTTAGAAATCACCTATGTGAGTATGAAGTGTAAGCCGCTTCAAGGGGAATGAAAGTAAACGCCCATTCTCTAAACACTCATGAAACCAGGCGGTATTCATGGCTGAAACGAACACAACCGTGAGAACCATAGATGGTTAAGGATTGATTGTGTGACTTATGTTGTCTAGGTATACAACAAAGCTCGACGGTTCAAAGATATCAAATCTACCGATTGACCGAGTATATCCGATATAAGTTCACTACGGAAAGTTCAAAGGGAAACCTACTTATCCAGATGCAATTAATTCTTGCATGTAAAACACACACGCGTCCGTGCATTCCTTTATTTTATAGCCATTCCCCATTCATGTGGGGGATTGTTGGGATTTTAAGCTTGTGTAGCTTAAAAGGGTGAATGAGAAATGGAGAAAAAATGAAATATTTGAGTTTCCCTTGGCAAAGGGACATTGTCCCATATCGGAGGAAGAAAAGGTTTTTGATGAGTATATATATAATTGCTCTTCTTCTAGCTCTTAAAGAGTTAAGAAAAAGGCAAGCCTCGCGTCGTCGTCGTCGTCGCTCGCTCGCTCGGCTCGGCTCGGCTTCGGATTTGGATTCAGATTTTGTCAAAGATCGATTGATTGATTAATCTTTTTAGACAAAATTTCTTTCAATTATTTATTTAATTAATTAAATAATTAACGAAAAATTCAATTCGAAATAACCCATGACCCGCGACCCGATTCAGTCAGGCCCGTTTTCTTTTCCGAATTATTTTAAATATATTTTTCCCGCATTATTTCAAATCCAACAGCCATGGCTGTTTCTGAAAGGTTGCAAACCTTTTCGGAAAACAATGCCAGCAACTCTATAAATAGAGTTTGAATCCCAGAATCTTTCCTTACGATTTCTGAGCTTCTTCTTCTTCTGCAATAAAAATTTCAGTGTGTTTTACAGCCTTCGAGTGGCTCGCTGTTCACCGGCGTTTTGGTACCAACACTCTGGTGAGTTAAATCGTTCTATCCTGGGAGGATATATTTCAGTACCTCGGGTACTTGAGGGGAATAATTTCCTTAAGGACACATTGTGTATTCTGTGGGCTCGATTTATTCATATACTGTTTTCCAGAATTTATTTCGTTAAACAAATATTACTAACTTTCTGTTTTGTTTTTCCAAAAAGTTTAATTGTTTATTACAGCAATACAGAATTATAACAGAATGGTCTTGATTTTTTGACCCCCGCTCGCTCCATGGGTAACCTTCAAGGTCAAAAGTCAAAAGTATTACCCTTAGGACAAGCAAATGACAATATTTATTAAACTTGAAATTCTATCCATAGGGCAAGCGGGGTTAAAAAAGCAAGAGTAATACCAAAGTGTCCTATCTATGCAAATCACCCGTCTTTTGAACAGCTCATTTGAGCACAATGAGGCCGAAGCCCAAAGGGAATAGCACCAAAGCCCAAAGGCATTTTCATCTCGAAAGGCCCGGCCTGAATTAGGAGAAATGAAGGGGTATGCAAAACCCTAATAAAGAGGCACCGAGTCACACTATCATTCCATTCACAGCAAAGAAGAAACCCTAACGCCGCAGTGCTCATCGAGTTCTTTCCTCCAAAGCGAAGATGCAGATCTTCGTCAAAACCCTAACGGGTAAAACAATCACCCTTGAGGTTGAATCTTCCGACACAATCGACAATGTGGAAGCCAAGATCCAAGACAAGGAAGGAATTCCCCCAGACCAGCAGCGTCTGATTTTCGCCGGAAAGCAGCTCGAGGACGGCCGAACCCTAGCCGATTACAACATCCAGAAGGAGTCGACTCTTCATCTCGTGCTCCGTCTACGTGGTGGTGCTAAGAAGAGGAAGAAGAAGACTTACACTAAGCCTAAGAAGATTAAGCACAAGAAGAAGAAGGTTAAGCTCGCTGTACTTCAGTTTTACAAGGTGGATGATTCTGGAAAAGTTCAGAGGCTTCGTAAGGAGTGTCCTAATGCTGAGTGTGGTGCTGGAACTTTCATGGCTAACCACTTTGACCGTCACTACTGTGGTAAGTGTGGGCTCACCTATGTTTACAACAAGGCCGGCGCCGATTGATCCCTATGTTTAGCTCTGTTTTAATGCTCTCGTCAATTTTATCTTTTTGTCGAACGGTAATTTAGTATGGATTTTCCCTTTAAAATTATGTGGCAACCTTGGGATTGTTGAGTTATTTAACAGTTTTTGCTTATTGTTAAAGTTTTAGATTATTATCTCAATTTTTATATCCTTAATTATCTACTTTATATGGGAGTGCTCCACATATTAGCGACTTTGGTGCGGTGTAAGATGCTCTCAAGGCCTTGTGTGTTAGAAAATGTATGCATTTTTAGGAGTTTGATATTTCACAGTTTTATTCATAGCCTTTTATACTCGGATGGGGTTGTAAATGAACCCAATCTAAAATAGAAAATTGGGCTCACCTATGTTTACAACTAAGCCGGTTCCGATTGAGGCTTATTTATGTTTAGCTCTGTTTTAATGTTGTAGTCAATTTTATCGTTTTATCGACCTGTAATTTAGAGTTTTTCCTATATGAGGATTATCCTTTTTAATGCACGTGGCAACTGTGGGATTATTGAGTTATTTTAACAATTTTTGCTTATTGCTCTTAAATCTTTGTCTATTAACACAATTTTTATATTCCTAATTGGTATCTACTTTATGCGGGAGTGTTTATCTTAGTATTAGCAAATGTGGTGCAGTGCAAGTATCTGGGGGTCTCAAGTCCTTGTTTGTGAAAAAAATTCAGGACTATTTTAGGAGAATTTGTGGTTTCACAATTTTGGTTATAGTGTTTTGCACCCGGATGAGGTTGAATTTCTACCCAATCTAAAATAGAAAATTGAAGCAATAGGTGTTATGGTGACTGTTAAGATTAATGTCAGCCAATGCTATGTTGTTAACTAGGCTTCATCTTGAAATATACTAACTGAAGTTGATTTATTACCTTCAATAAGCTCCAATTGCATCAGGCGGAAGCTTTTCATTCCTTTACTCTCACTTAAGCCTGTCAGATTTGTTACGAATTAGATTTATTTAGAGTCTAGATCACGTTTATCCCGAAACTTTTGGCACCTCTTACTTGCTTTTATCTGGTCTCTACCGCGAATACTATGCTCCTTTTATTGAAGTTTGACTGGGTTTATGCTCCTTTTATTAAAGCTTGTCTGGGTTTGTAGCTCTCGTTTAATTGGGATAACATGAAAGTTATGCCTTTTAGGTTTTGCTACGTTTAGTTATGTTAGTATTATAGAATGAAGATTGCTTATCTGCTTATTTCTAAGCCAATAGGAGGTGCCTGTTCGTTTTTAGTCGTGTCACCTCACCATATGGATTATGCTTGCTTCTCGGTTTAGGTTTTAGCATCCTGTTTCAGTTATTCACCATAATTGTGATATCTGAGAGTTTTGTTTGAAATTCTATTCAAGGCAATAGAAAATCTATCATGATAGTTTTAGCCTCTCGTTAAAAGGATGACTTGAAAACATTAGATTATAGGTAGTTTCGCAAGTCACTTAGGAACCAACTTGACCAGTTGGTACAGAAGCAGCACTGGATGTGTGTACCAGTTTGAATTCTCTGTCTTCTAAGTAGATTGACAAGGCTGGAGCCATAGAGGTGTTCTACTCAAAGTAAAAGGAGATTATGATCCTCCTCATACCCGAGTCCAAAGGAGATTATGATCCTCATACTCATCTGTTTCCAGATGTACTACTTTTTTGGTGTATGAGTGTACTATATTATGGATAAAGTGATCTAATCAGGACGTAAATTAGGCCTATCGGTACGGTGGATGCCTGGATGGTAGTGACACTGGACATGGAAATATGTTTTTGGCGATAATTGGTCAAGTGCCGTGCCACGAATAATTGAATATATGAGAAGGTGGGCTCAATTGAGTCAACGTAAACATTGGTCACCTTGTGTCGATTTGCGAATCAAAATTTGACAATGGTTCCTCACTATCTAGTTTTATGTTACTTTCCTATGAATTAAATAAATTGGAGTACAAATAAGATCTTGAACCAAAGTAACACAAAAGCAAGGAAGAACCAAACTAGGTATAGCGCATGCCTCCAAGGCGCTATACCTTTCTGCCAGACGCCCCAGGCTAATAGATGTTTAAATATATATATCGGAAAAGGGCCAAATATACCTGTGTACAATGAGAAAATGTTTAAATATATCTTTCGTTATACTTTGGGTTCAAATATACCCTCATCGTTATACTATTGGTTTAAATATACCCATACCCCTCTTCCGTTAAATTTGTCCTACGTGACACTGCCATTTGATGAGGTGGATGTCACGCTGCATGTTACCTCAGCGCCCCTTACCTATTTTACCCCTCTCTTCTATTTTTTTTTTCATCCCAAAATTTTTTTTCCCCTCTAAATAATATTGTATTCAAAGTTTAGTCTTTTATATATGTTTGTTTCTCCGCTCACGCTCACATTAGATTCAATATAATTACACTGCTAGCTGCTTTGAAAATTGAAAAATTGACCTGCCATTTCAAAGTCATTGGAGAATTGCAACAAAATCCAAAATAACAATAAAATATTATTGCAAAAATTCTGTTTAAAAAAAAAGTACCAAAAACAGAGTGTCATTTAAGTACCAAAAACAGCGTTTTAGCAGAGGATTCATGGTTGTTATTTCCTTGGCTTCTGAGTTTTTGCATCGCCGAGTCCACTGCTTTCTTGTACGAGTCCGCCGCTACTCCACTCGGAAATATCTTCCTACTGTAATTTCACGGTAAAAAATAATAAAATAAATAAATAAACAATAAACTATCACTATCACCGCCAAGAACATAACATAAACAAAGACACACAATCATTAACTACACCACTACACAATAAAAAGATTCAAAATTGAACATTTTACAGTTCATGTTTTTTTTAAAAAGATGTTACGAACCTGTGATCATAGATATTGTAACGGGCATTACTGTAATCAGAGAAGCAAGTACGGAGTTAAGAGTGAAGGGCAAGTTCCCAGACAGGAGAGTTCCACCATTGCTCCGTCGAATTCCTCCTTCCTTATTCTGCCACTTATCTTATCAGACGCTTCCAATATCACCATTAGAGTGAAATTCAATATTGTCCATGGAAGAAAATTTTAGTGGTGGAAAAACAAATAGAGGGGAGGGGTAAAATGGGTTAGGGGCGCTGAGGTGGCATGTCACGTGGCATCCAGCTCTTCAAATATCAGTGCCGCGTTAGATTGAATATCGAGCTTGGACAAACTTAAAGGAAGAAAGTTATATTTGAACCAATACTATTACATCAGGGATATATTTAGACCCAAAGTATAACGAGGGGTATATTTAAACTTTTTCTTATAGTACAAGGGTATATATATATATATATATATATATAGTTCATCCCTCGCAGGCAGTAAACAGACTCCAGTCAGACCTCTTTTTAACGATATTGTTGTATAATATTTATTCACTATAAAAGTCAAATTTTTTATGAAATTAATTTTTATGCTATATTATAATATATATTCTCTACAACAGCTATAATATCCAAAAAAATTAGAAAAAAATGATAATGTTTTCTCTCCTTTAATTTCATCTTAGACTCACTATGTCTAATGTTTCACAGAGTTTAATGCATTTAATAGAACACTATATTTGCCATTGTGTTACTGTACGTTGAGGACTTAAAACGACTAATATGAACCTCGGGCGAAAATTTTGGGGTTGCAAACTTTCAAAAGTAAGTAATTTTTCTCGATTAATATTTGTATAGCATATGAGGTTGGGTGTAGAATAAAGGGGCCAACTATTTTAGATGGCACGAGGAGTCAACGATTAACCGAGGCTCGCCGTTGAGAAGTCCCTCATCGACATTTTTACCACTACTTTACAAAATAATAAAGTTAAACACCAATATAAGCGCGAAGAAGACGAAGAGAACATGATTTTCTTAGAACACTATTGAAAGAATCATAACAAATAAGAGAACACCTAATGATAGGTTGACCAAAATTAAACACGAGATAGATCATCTGAAAAATAATTGAATGAAGATGGAAAGTAGAGGGATCATCTAAACTTGATATGTGATCTGTTGTTGTTGTTGTTTGGAAATATTGTATTGTTGATTAAATGTATCTGTGTTGTTTGTATGCTTTCTGTATCGTCGTCACAGTAGTAGTTATCGTTTCAGCAGATTGTATGTTTTGTGTTTTATTTTGTATTTTACAACTCGAATTGTTTTTATAAAGAAGCATATCATGTTATCCAAATTTATGTTATACAATAACATTGATAATGTAATTAGCTGTCATATTCAACTAAGATATTATACACTACAAAATCATAAGAATTTCACTAATCTATAGGATAGAAGCACTCAATATCGTCAATCTCATAGATAATCTTCATTTGTTAATCAACTAATGTCAAATTCCTACTAGTTGATGACGTTTGTTCCTCAGCCAACTTGAGAATATAGTACCTATCGTGTCTTAATAACTTTTCATTATTCTCTATTCTAATCCTCTTTCACTACTAAAAAACGGCCCATTTCCGTCCGAAATTTCAGACGAAATCGATCAAAAAATGCATAAAAATATATTTTTTAATTTTTAATAGTAGTTACGACTAATATTCCGTCTATATCCGTCGTAAATTTTGGCGGAAAATTCCGCGTCACTGTTAGCGACCAATTCGGTCGAAAATAATTAAATAAAAAAGTAGCGACCGGTTCGGTTGGATTTTTTTAGTAAAACGAGGGTTGACTACTTTGACCAAATGTCCGACCGAATCGATCGGAAAGTTTTTTTAAAAACCCTAGCGACCCCATTCTTTTCCTTTCCCTCTTTTCTTCCTTCTCTCTTCTCTCTCACTCAAACTTCCCCCCACCCAAACCCGCCGCTGCCATCAACCAGCATCACTCGCCGGCGCCGCTGCCCAACTGCAGGTCCGTCGGCGACCCTCTATTGCCAGGTAGGTTTCCCTCACCCTCCTTTGTTATTTTTTTTTATTTTAAAATACACTGATTTTGTTTAATTGCTCCTAGTTTGGTTTGTAAAAATTGATTGTGTTAGCTAAAGTAAATCTATGACTATTGTTAGTAGCTAAATTAAATTTATATGTTGGTTATTTAGGGCAAAGATCGTAAAAGTGTATACAATTTAGGATCGTAAAGTAAATCTATGCCCTATTGGAAGGCCAAAGTTAATAATTTTGGACTGGGTAAATTTTGA